TGCAAAAAAAAAAAATTAATTTAATTTTAATTATTAATATAAATTGTAGATTTTCGGAAAAGAAAAGAATTTAATTTAATAATAATAATAATGATAATAATAATAATAATAATAATAATTTTAAGAATAATTATTCGATAAAGGAATTAATTAATTACCCGTAATTAATTATTTAACATCGAGTTAACTTGTCGGAATTTATACAATTTTACGAAGAGATTATTATTATTATGGTCAAAATTCTAAAAAAATTTAAATTAATTTTCTTATGTTTGTTTATTCGGACATCATAGTTATTGTTATTATTATTATTATTATTACGTACGACATTGTTTTCGCGGATTATAATTAATTGAAATAGATTCGAATGAATAGTTAACGTGGAATAAAACGTGAATGAACGTGGACGTAGAAGAACGGCGGTTAAACCGATCAATTAAAATAAAATAAGATTAATTATTACGTCGATTATATAGTTTTAACGTATATGTGGGGGAGGGGGAGGGGGGACAAATTTAAAAAAAAAAAAAAATTTGTTTAATTGATTGAATTTTATATTTTTATGATTTACATTTATTAATTTATTACGAGAATGAATTTTAGAGAGAAATATCGATGAAACAAAACATGTTTGTCGTTCATGAAATTTTTAATATTTAATCATTTCACGAATAATCGTACGTGTGTGCACGCGCACACGTGCACTTTTTTTTAAAAAACAAAAAAAACTCGAGTTTACCTTTTTCTGTTTTCACCGTTGCCATTATTGTCTCTTTAAATGACTAATTCGAGTTAAAGAGCAGTAAAATAAAGATTTATCAGGTGCGTCTTATCGTAAAATCTTATTTACCTTTTTTAAAACAACCTTTAAACTAAAATGAAACTTTAATACCGTTAAAAAAAAAAAATTTCAACTACTGAAAGTATATAAAATTCAAAAGCTTTTAAATTATATAAGAAAAAAAAATAAAAATAAAAATAATAAAAGAAAAAGAATCAAATGGATCTATTTATTTTTCTTTTTTCTTCATATATATATATATATTTTTTATGTAATAACTCAAAGAAAAATAAAACAAATAAATAAATAAATAATAATAATAATAATGAATTGTATAAAATACGAGTATTACATAAGTGATGATGATGATGAATTAAAATTAAACAAACAAAAAAAAAAACAAAAACGTATTTAAAAGTTAATTATAAGGTTTTAAATGAAATATGCATAAGAGAGAGAGAGAGAGAGGGGGGGGGAGGGAAACGGAAAAACATTTGATTACAACTTTTAATTACATAAAATTTTATAAAAGAAACGAAAAAAAAGGAAGAAGAAAAGAGAGGAGGAGGAGGAGGAGGGAATAATTGAATAATTGTTAATTTTCCCTTTTTTTTTTATAACGTATTTAAGGTTTCCGTTTTTTATACAAACGCGAGTTTTCTTTTCTTTTTTTTTTAATTTAAATGATGTAACGTTAATTTTTAACAAACAAACGTTATGAAAATATATATATATATATATATATATATATATATATATATATATTACGTTTCGTTATTTGTAATAATAATAATAATAATAAATCACGAAGAATTTTCCGAAAAAAAAAAAAAAATGAAAGAAAGAAAAATTTAAATGGTTGGCACGTAAATATTGTCGGAAAAATTTGAAATTTTTTTCTTTTCATTTTTTTTTTTTATTCAAAATGATTTTCAAGGACGACTATATCTACTACCACGTCTCGTCTATGAAATATTTAATAAAAAACAAAGAAAAAGAGAAAAAAAAAAACATTTTGATTATTTAAAAGTTTTCAAACAAACCCGCGTGTAAAAATATTTTCCCCCTCCCTCCTTCCCTTTTTTTTTATTTTTATTTTATTTATTCGTAAAAAATAAAAATGGTGAATAATGAAAAAATTTATTTAATGGAAAAAAAAGAAAAGTAAGTTAATCATAAAAAGTTTAATGGTTGGTAAGAGAAAATTCCAAAAGGAAAAGGAAAGAAAAATGATATAAGTTAGTAGTTATTTATCGGGATTCAAGGTCACGGTTAGGAAATTGGTATGAGAAAAATGGCGGCAAAGAAACTCAGACGATAACGTGACGTCACTTCCTTTAAAATTTGTTAACCCTCGTTTTTTACGATATCGAAATATATTATATATTAGAGAAAATTCATTTGTTTTCGATATTATCGAATCGTCGTTAATTAAATTAAAATTAAAAAAGAAAATATGTTTTAAAAAAAAATTAAAAAAATTTTTTTATTGTTAACGGTTTTTTTTTTTTTTAAAAAAAAAAAATCAGGGTTACCAAAATAACAATTATGACGCATAAAAAAAAAAAAAATTTTCATTTATTACAAAGATTACTTTTTTTTCTTTTTTTTTTCAAAGTTAATGTAAAAAAAAAAAAAAAAAAAAAAAAAGAAAAAAGAATA